GAGGAAAACATGGGATGCTAATATGTTTCGTCAAGTAGTGGTGCTTTAGCAGAATAGCAGATTGGCTATCAAACAATGGATGTCAGTTTAGGAGGAGAGGAGGCTGAAACATTCAGAATAAACCCAACAGTTAGACCAGAACCTTCCTTTGTTCTCATGTCTCTTCTTGTTCTTCCAGATGGTGGGATTGATCATCTCCATTAAAATGATCAATCAGATCAATCGTCACGACAGAGCAGGAATCCCAGCTTTTGCAATGAGGGATTATTGAGATCCACCTCCAAGTCTTGATGGGTTTCATGGAATGATGCTCAAATATCGTTCAGATTCTTTCCTTTTAGTCTTTATTTAGAAAAAATGTTACCAAATAAAATGTTTTGCAAACGTTTCCACACTTTGTGATGCTTCCACCATAAATGTTGTATTTTATTGTGACGGATCCCTTCTCTGACACACCTGAACCAAATGAACATACGGTTACCGGGCCTCTGCAGAGCTGAACGACGGAGTTCACTTTCAGAAATAACAAACATGGAGCCGTTTGGAGTTCAGGGTTTTTGTTTTGGAGTTACAGAGCCACTGGCATTCCTGCTACTTTGCTTTCTGTTACACCCTGTCATGTGGTTGCACATTTTTTCTTAACTGTTATTGAAAATGTGCCATGTTTGTTTTGGAAACCCCTTTGGTAGAAACTCATAAAGTAGTGGATGGTTGTACATTTGAAGAATACGGATGTGTGAAGCTAACAGAGTAGGTCTGGTTGGTAGGTTTTACAGATTTTTCCTGTATTTAAGTTTCTTTTAGAATTCACATCTAAGAGCTGCTTATTTCTGGAAATTGCTCTTATCTGACCTTATCAATTCTTGATCCTTAACATCATAACTGAATCATGACTGTTACCACATGTGCTGAGCCAAAGTAAAGCACTTGCATATAAAGTGAGTCAAACTGAAACCAACCAAGAGTTTTACTGTAAAAGCTGCAGATGGGAATGTGTGTCGGCCTCAGTCTGCTCAAGAATCCCATGACCTTTTTCAACAGTTACACACGGCACATTTTCCATGACCCCCCCACCACACACACACACACCCCACCACACACACACACACACACACACACACACACACACACACACATATATATATATTGGTTTTGATTTTAGATTTTAAACACAAAGTTTTCAACTTGAACATCCTGATGCTGCTTTCCTTTTAAACTCACCGAATGCCTTTCATGTATCCAACAAACAAAAGCTCCACTTATTGGCTTATTTTTTTCCTTGTACCGCATCAATAAACATGCATTTTGTTGCATATAATTAAAGTTAATTTGAATAACAATGCACCTTTGTTTTTATAGTCCTCTCACCTCTCATCTTCCCTTCCTTCAGATCTCAGACGATCCCGATCCGGTGGTCCCAGGACAACACTCAATCACTGATCTGTTTAAAATAAGCTTTTTCTGATTTTTACCATCTCCTGTTTGTGTTCTGCATGTGGGTCAAGTGGGAAACTTCAAACACGACGCTTAGTCCGTTAAAAATGCTCTACCTAGTTTGCCTTTCATCGCCAAGTGACTGATGACGTTGGTGACGAGTTTTACCCAAAATACACTTGGAGACGGTATTGTGATCCATTTGTAATTTTGCATGTCATAAACTTAAATGTAAGAGTGAAAATAAAGTCAGTCATGCAGCTCAATATTTTACACCCACTACTAGAATATAGTGGTCTAGTAAAGTTTTTAGCAACCATGAGTCAACCCAGACTGAGCATTTATATAACCCTGAAAGGCCTCATCCTGCACCAGACATAACAGAGGCTGAGATTCCTGAAGTCCTCTTCCGCCTCCCATCCGGCCCCAGATGTCCGGCCCGGGGCAACAGGGGCAACAACACACTGAATAATTGTTGGCTTGCTGAATCAGGAATACTCACTGTGTGCCATATGCCCTCTAGTGGCCAACTGCTGCAACTTCCTGCTTACTGACTCCAAATTCCATCAGTTATTTTATATCAAAAATATAAAATTAAAGTCATAACTTCAAGCTTAAAGTGTTTTTTTTTTATCTGAATTTTTAGATTATGACAAAATTCCAACATCAAAGTGAAAAATTCTGAGTCTTTAACGTCGACAAAACCCAGATATAAATATAGTTGCATGGAGTTTTTCTCTCCTTGCTGTAATGTTTGTGTTTAGTTGTTGCTTTATATGTTAAACTCCTTTTGCTGCAGAAAGATGTGCAAGATTTAGAAAAGCAAATATCTGCATTTTCATGTTTGAATGAGAAAATAATGTAAAAATAAAGAAAGAAAAATACAAACTGATTTCTCTCTGCAATTTTATGATGCTATAAGACATCCTGTCCAGGGCTGTGGATGTGTGTGCAGACTTCAGGAAAGGTGGACAAACGGTCATCTGCAGTTACAGGCATCAGGAAACAGAAATCACATCACCAGCTAGAAATTAATTACTTCCTGTTCATGAATCTTTTTTCCAGATGCGGCTGCAGCAGAAAACAAAGGTCAGCAGGAAAAAACTGGAGATTCCTCTTGTGTTTTTGTGTCGAGTAAAAATAAAATCCTAGGAATTCATCAGGACTTTAGCAAACTTTCAGCTACATGTTTGATGTTTTCTAGAACATACTTAGGTTTATTGTGAAATAGTTTTTCACAACCCTTCCTCTCAAATACGACTTGCATCATTTGACTTTCTAACTTAGTTTTCAGGAAATTATTTCTCGCCTGTTTCCTTTTAGAACTTCCTGTTATTTCTGCTCACAATGGTGGGCAGGTGGGAAATTTGGCAGACAAAAAGAAAAAGAACTGATAAGTTCGGATAATATCCAGAAAACACAAAGAGATGTAAAAAAAAAACAGTGAAGGTTATGAAACAGACCTGCTCTGTTGATTTAACCCAATCCTAGTGAAGCTGAAAACAAGAGAATCCAACTTTTAAAAGATTGTGTTAATTGGTCACATCTATTAGAATTATGTTTGTCAAACTTACTTTATTAACATTTGTTTAACATGACAATTTAATAAACTTATGTGGATAAATTTAATTTAATTAATTGTGAGCAGTTAACCCAATATGTTTAAGTTGGATCAGCTGCAAATTAAATTACACCGATGGAGTTTGTTTTTGTTTTGATTGTTTTAAATCATCGTTTTTCTTGTAACTTACAATTTGAAAGGAAAGCCAAAGGCCTCATCCATCCGGAGACAAATACGACACATTTCTGAAATGATAAATAAAAAATGTGTGTCCACTTGACGGGACGAAACACCACAGAAAATACGGCAGGCCAATTATTATAATAATGGATAAATGAACTAATGGAAAAATGCATATTTAACCCTCCTGCTGTCCTCATTTCCTGTATAACCCTGAATGACCCGTCTTCACCAAACCCCCAATATAAGCAGCTTAACTGAATTTTAAACACCAAGTTTCATCTTGCATATTGTCATTCGCCACAAAATGTGTGAATACTTGAGTTTGTTTCCACTTGAATTTTACAGCTTAAATTCTGAATTTACTTTTAGAATTTGTTTGTTAATCACCATCCAGTGTCAGCACTCTGAATTCAAAGTTTTAACCTAATTTCAGAATACTGACTTTAATTCTTCAAAGTAATAATGTAAATGAACAATTCTGACTTTTAGCTTAAAATTTTGACTTTACTCTCAGAATTAAAGTTCACATCTAATCACTTAATATTGTCAAGTTAAAACAGCAAATGGTACACTGGAGTGCATTTGCCATCTCCACCCAACTGGCACACACATCACAGAGAATCAAGCGCACCCATCCCTTTCACTCAGGTCCATCTGAAGTCTATCAGGTAACTTGTCACACCTGAGCTCACAATGATGTCTGCAGACAAAGAGCCTCGGCTTCAAGCTTCCACAAAGACACTCTGGTGGGAACGGGACATTCATCATTTAATCTGCATTCAGAGACCAACTAGCCTTGTGATGCAATGGCTTTTATGTGTTTGTTCATTCACTGTTAACTTAAAAGTAGGTTGTTAACATTACCTGGAAAACTAGTTAATTAGTTTGTAGGTGTTCAACCTGCTCTGTGACTCTCACTACTCATGTGAAGTCATGGTGGTCTTACACTGTCAACTGAAATAATCTAAAGACAAAAAGAAAACATAAATAAAAAATGTCGCTGAGACGAGTGGTTCCTGCATTGCTTTGAGGGAAACAAGCTTTTTCAAGTTTGGCCAGAAGCTGACGGGGTTTAAAGAGACCAAAAACCTGACAAATGTGTTCCTGACTTTAATCCCAAATCAGATTAAACTGAGGGAAAAATTCTGAGATTGAAGTCAGAATTCTTGCTTTAGCTGCAGAATTTAAGTTTTTAAATCCTCATTAATTTCCTAATTCTGACTTTTCAGAGATGTAAAGAAAAGGTTCCCTGATGGTTTTCCTGTAAACCAGACGGTGAATCCTCCAGCGCAGTGAAAACTTTCACCAGGCAGGTTTTACCTGGTCACTCACCCAGATGTGATGTAAATGTCAGTGTTTTGTTATTTAGAGAGTCATAATGTTGTTCAGTTTTACTACACTGGCTGGAGAAAGTTGGATGTTTTCGATGTGAACAGAAATCATCCAGAACTCCCTGTGGTTTTGGCTGCAGATGCTTGCATCTCGATAAACTCTTCCAAGGAACTCTGCTCTCATTTTTCCACTATGCTGCTTTCCCCCCTCCTAACTTTGTCCAGTGGGCCCCTTCTGACCGGAGCCAACCACAGCAGATGCAGTGAAACCCACTGGAGAAAACTGTTCTCAATCTGCCCAACATAAACAATTATTATCCTTCATGTTTTTCTTGTTCTCTTTGCTTCTCATTGAATTTTTTTACCTTTTATGGATTCCTGTTAGATCATTTCCCGCCTGCGTTGCACAACCTGCAGCCGGAGCTGCACTCGACCTCTCTCTCCTGTCAGATAAAAATGCACATGCTTTCCAATGAACGACCCGGGATGTGATGTCATTTTGTGCTTCCCACCCATATATTTGTTAGCAGAACCTTCCAGAACCTTCCAGAACCCTGACCTGCAGCATCCAGAGCAAAGATGGGGAAAGCAAACTCCTGCCTCAAATTAGCTTTTATCCTCCTCAATGTGGTTTTTGTGGTGAGTGCAAGGATTTCTGATTTCTGATTCTTTGGCAGCTTTGATTAATTCTTGCTTTATAAATATGCAAACCAAGAAGTTACTTTGCCAGCATATTAGTTTAGTTGCAGGAGAAAATGTTTTAGGATCTTCATTAGTTTCCACCAACACAAGATTGGTGAGATATCACATTTTACAAATTACACACATGAAACTTTATTTGAAAATAAAAAAGAAGAAAATGTTCTTTTTAAATCTCAGTGTTTTGGTCATTTATTCCATTCCTGAATTGTTCTGAATGCAACACATTGCATTTTTACAATGTAGCAGTTATTATGTATTCAATCAGAATAAAAAACTTTTCATCAAATGTCTCAGCTCTCTTTTTGCAATGAGGTGAAAAAAGCAGGTGAATGCAGATTTTGCATTTTTCTGCCATTTTTGTCCAGTTGATCCAACTAAAAAATATCTTACAAGTAATAAATTAAATTTATCCAAATAAATACGCTGAGTTTTTTAAGTTGTCATGTTAAACAAATATAAATAAAGTAAGTTTGACTAAATGTAACCAATTGTACGAAACAAATTAACTCCATTTGTTGGAGCACCATTCTTTTTTTCAGTGGGGTTATGGTTCACATTTCTCTTTATTCTGTTGGTAAATTAAAGATAAATAAATTTTCTAATGAGATAAATGTTACATTATATTCATGTGTTTTATGCTGATTTTTAAATTCGGTTTGCCTGCATTTAATTTTTGATTTTTATATTTTGGTACCTCTTTTACTAGATCTTTTAACTCGTATTTTATTTCTTGTATTTTTTTTTTAATTTTCAAAAAATGCCCTTCTGATTTTGAACTAATCTAAAAAATATTTTTTTTTCTGAAACAAATCTTAAGAAATATTACTCCCTGCCTTTGTTCTTCTATTATGTTTCAAATTGTTTTGTTTTCTAATAACTTTTGATTTTTGTCCGTTTTATTTTTAATGTAAATGGAAGCAGAACTTTTCTCAACTCTTTGTCTCCCTCTAGTGTCTTTTTGTTGCAATGACATCTTCCACGATGCATCCGTGTAAACTCCCTTTAAAAAATGTTTGCAATCCACTTTAAAAGTCTTATTTTGCTCTCAAACCCTAATTTAACAATTCAGATTAGGCTTTATTGTCTGCATTTTATGTAATTAGTTAAACTGACTTGCCGTTTTTAACTTTCTGCTCCAGGTTATTGGATTCGTGATCATTCACGTGTCCGTGATGGCCTCTTACTCCAGCTACAAGGTAAACATCAACAACGCTGCTATTAAGCATCAGATTAGATGGAAGAAGTTAAGCAGATAGTTTTTGCACACATAAGGCGTTAAATCTTCTACAAATGGCACTACTGTAAATCATTGTACACAATACAGAAAATGGACTAGAAATTATTTTTCTGCCATCGTTTTGGCGCCCCCCAGCGGCGCCCCATAGCATATAAGGCATTTTTGCGCCAGTGGCTGAGTGTGAGTGACTCGGCAGTAATCCAGTGTTTGTTTCAGGTTTCTGGATTTAATGACCTCAACCTGTTAAAGATATGGGTGTTCGCCCTTGTCGTTGTCTTCATCGCTGTCCTGGGAATCTGCGCCGCCGTCACAGAGAACAACATCATGCTGATGATCGTACGCAACAAAAGAAGTTCACTTCCAAAATTCTCACAAAAGTTTTAAATGTTTTTGTTTCCATCGTCTGATCTACTGTTTGTTTGGTTTCGTTTACAGTTCGCAGGTCTGACGATAATCATGATGATCATCTATCTGTTTATGGGGATTATATTCACTATCTTTAGAAAAGCGGTAATGCGTCTGCCTAATATTTACCCACCTTCTGTTTCTCTGGAGTATTTTGTTCTCTTTTACATCCATTATTCAGTTAATTATGACTTTAATGTTGGAATTATGACTTTTATCTCAGAATTTAAGTTCGCAAGTCAACATTTAGTCTCAGAACTCTGACTTCAGTCTCTTCTGACTGGACACATGAAGCGTCTTTTACATTCTCACATGCAACCTAAATGACATTTTGAGATTATTTGGTTTCCGTACTTTTCTCATTTCAGTCACTAGGTTCTGTTTTGACGATATGATCCCAAGTTTCGGTTGTGGAACGTAGACCTTTACAAACTTTGGTCCATCTAAGTTTTATGATGAACGGACCAACAGGAATCTGTTTTGTTGGGAACTTAAAGTCCTGGATAATCTTGTTTGTTGTAACTTTTGTGCTCATAATTTGGTCTTCTCTAGTCTAAGATTCTATTAATGCAGTTTTTCTGACCTTGCAGCTAATAGATGATTTCTCCAAACCTGATGAAGAAATGATAGAGCGCCTACTTAACGAGACCGAGATTCAAGAAATACAAAAAACAGTAAGGCTTTTTACCAAGCCAAGCTAATAGTTTTGGGATGGATCAAAACTATCCATCCTGTGGTTGCTTAAAGGTGACGGGTACAGATAAAGTCACCTGTGGTTGCAGGAAAAATGCTGCGGAGTGCTTCGTGCAGAAGACTGGGGTAAGATCATCCCACCATCCTGCGAATGCACAGTAAAAGGACCGGACGCGAAACTGAAATGTAAACCCAGACCTCAGGTTGGTTACATGCAATCATTTCACAATATGATGTCAAGCATTTTTAATGGGAAACATAAAAGATATACAAATATTGTTCTGAGGCCAACTTTCACTGTTTATCATATAAGGTTCAATTATGTTGAGTAAAACTGCTAATTTAAGGTCCATCAGAGCAGGAAGATGCGACCAAAGGTTCTCCACACCAAAGCAATGCAAGAATGACTTATTACAGGAACTGTTTGGTTTCATCTGCCTGGCGATCTGCTCCAGATAGGCGATGTATGGAAAGCCAAAAGGGTCACAATTAGAAGTATTTTAACAAAAAAAACAACAAAAGACCGATTTAACAGAAATCTAGCATCAACTAGAAAGGTTTGTTTTTGTTTCAACTTTTGAAACTGAGAAATTTCAAAGATTTTTTCTGGAAAACTTGAGATTATTGTCAACATTTCTGAGTTTTTAAAAGTAATTTGTTTGATTTTTAAATTGAGAAGTTAACTTGTTTTCCTGGAAAATTTCTGAGATTAATCTAAAGATTTCTCATGTTTTTTCTAGGAAATTTTCAACTTTTCAAACTCCAAAATTTTAAATTTTTTCTAGATTATTTCTGAGATTAATCTAAAAAATTCTGACTCCTTTCTTCCAAATTCAGAAATTTTCTTGTTTTTTCTGGAAATTTTCTGAGTTTAATCTCAAAATTTATTGGCGAACATTAATGGCATTTTTTTATGTACAATGTGCCATCGTAAAAGACTGAATACAAACTAATTCAAATTTTTGCATCTTTTTTATTCATTTGTTTTAACAAAACACCTATAAACCACATTAAAATCTAAAATTTGATCTTTGTCCCAACAGGGAACCACGGGTCCAGATCAGATCTTTTCAGAGGTATTTAATCGGCTTATTTTCAGATTGTCCTGAATTCAGTCATTGCTCCCATTCTGTCATAGTTTTGAAAATGCTTCATGTTTCTGCCTTTCCTTCCACAGCCCTGCAAAGACTTTTTTTATCTAGGAATTACACTGATTCCGACTTTTTGCATGTCGCTTTTCTATGGATTTCTTTCCATCGAAGTAAGTTTGAACTCCGTTCTCCTTTACTGTCAGGGATTTTCAGCCTTTGTTTTAGACGTTGCAAATACGACGTACCCATTGTTTCAGTGTTTTAGCCATCATTTCCATGGATAAACTGGCAGTAGGGCTGGTTTACGGTAGTATGCTAGAACCATTGCAGATTTAAGTATCTGTCAAAATTTTTTTAATTAATCTCAGAAATTTCCTAGAAAAAAAAGGTGGAAATTTCTGAGCTCCAAAAAGTTGAAAATTAGCAAGAAAATGGTCAGATTTTTCTTTTGATTAATTTCAGAAATCTTCTAGAAAAAAATCTTCGAAGCTTCAAAGTTTCAAATGTCAATTATTTTACTGTTGAAACTCAAATTTTTCTAAGATTTTTTTTAAAGAAAATTTCTGGGATTCATCTCAAAAGTTCAGATTTCTTTGGTAGAAAATCACCTCTTTTTTTGCTATATACAGAGGCACTTATAAGGTGTCATTTAATAATAATGATTGATACTTTATAATAAATGCTAAGTTAGCTCTGAAATAACAATCATCCCAGAATCCTTGATTGTAATTTTATTGGTTGAAGGCTGTCCCTATATGTTCATTGAACCAGTTAAGGATCAGAAAACCCAAAGCAGAGTTATACAAGAAGAATTAATAACTTTTAGAGCAGATATTTGCTCCCCCCCATTTGTTTTTGATACTTAATAGTTTTCTTGTTTTTACAGATTCTTATTCTGGCTCTCAGCTGCCTCCTGATCCATCAAATCAGAAGATCCAACTCAGGCTGCACTTTCACATGAGGAAACCTTGAAAGTCACTTTCTTTCTCTCTTTTCAAGAAAAATGAAGACATCATCAACTGACTGGTCCATATAAAATTTAAATTGGTAAAATGTAAATAGAATCATGTCGTAAACTGAATTATTTCAGATGTTTTGTTTTTTGTGACCAGTTATTAGTGTAAAGTAATAAATCTGCAAATAACCAATGAAAATATTTTATATATTCTTGTCAGAGGTTTTGCTCTTGATGTGGATTAAATCTTTCACTGAAATATAATCATAATCTGCCTATTTTAATAGTTTATACCTTTAAATGCATTAATACACGACGGAAACCATCTTACTGCAGAAACATCCAACATCTTCCTTATTTTGGGGATTCAGCCAATCAGAGCAAAGGAAAATGGAAGGTGATCTTGGATTGGCTGCTTTATACAGCCAATAGCGTGTCAGCTGCGTTTTCTTTTGATAATATGCACTATAAAAATAGGGAGTATATGATGCAGTATTAAGGCCACGCTAAGAAAATCACTTGGAGTTGATTCTAGTATGAAGGGTGCTTTATAAATAAAATTGATTGTTTGAAAAAATAAATAAAATTCAGAGATTAAAGTCCTATGAGATTAAATTCAAAAATAGTTTGAGAATATAGTTATAGTATGAGACAAGATCATAATATTCTGATTATTTCCTAATATTAAGACTTAATTTTTGTAATATTACAACTTTATTCTTGTGAAATTGTGACTTTATTCTATTAATTTTGATGTATTCTTGTACAATTTTATTCTCTTAATTATATTACTTTGTTCTCATAAGTTTATTTATGCATTATTATTTTTTTGTATTTCCTGGGTCACAAAAATAGGTGGATTTGTTTTGCAAATAATTTTGCAGAAACATCCAGAAATACATTGGGGTCCACTGTACACTGTTTCCAAATGTTTTACAAATAAAAATCTAATGAAGGTGTGTGTGAATTCAGCTCAAATGAATGCAGTACTATGTTTGGTCAGAGTCACAACAATAACGGTCACTTAATGTCACATAATTAACTGAGCCAATGCGCCCATCCCGTCCATTGTTTGGACAGGATGTACGGACCCAGAACCAAGCAGAACAGGTGCCTACAGGGGTGAAAGGTCAGGAAAAGGAAAACAAACAGGAAGTGGCGACTGGAGGGCGTAAGGACCATATTAAAGACGGTGGTAGCGACTAGCTAACAGTCCCGGGATGCTTAACACACAACTTTCTACTTAAATTAACAAATATTATTAATAACACCGTCTATAAAAATATGCCCTTATATAGTAAGGAGTATTTAATTAATATAAATAAATATACTTTATGTACGTTTTAAGAATAATCCGGAAGTATTTCTTCTGCGCATGCGCAAATGAGTCAAAGGTATGACTAGTACTTACGGAACAGGTTGTGAAGTGGCAAAATCGGAAGAACCTTGTAATTTGGTTCTATATAAATGAAATAAAGTGAGTTTATCTTTTTAAAACTGACATTTTGAGCCATACTCCATATCAGAAGTTGACGGTTATGCAAACCAGACATTTCTCGGATAAGTGGATTTGGCAGAAAGGCTACGTTTTTGTCAGTGCAGACTTTTATTTAAAACAATATGGATTCGTTTCTGTACACATTTTTGTAATCTAGATTTTGAAAATGAGTCAAACTTTGTAGAAACTGGCAGCGAAAACAGATTTACTAAAAAAGAAAGAAGCAGCTGCTGCCGCTATTAGCCAAAGAAGGAGGGAAGACGCCAGGCTGCGTGGTGGGAGGATAATTAGAGGATTGGGAGCAGGTGTTCCCGTCGGGTCAGGAGATGCTGAAGGCGGGAATGACTCAGGACAACTGCTGAGCAGGAAGAGCGAGTTTCTGGAAACCAGCAACAAGCCTCATAATGTGAGTAAACCGTTTAAAGTCTTCACACAGTTGTTATTTTCAGCACTTTTGATCTCTCAAACTGTGACTGATTGTTTGCTCTGGGTGCTAAAGCGGAGTTTTTTGCAGTGTGATGAAATATGATTGTTTCTCTTGAGTTGAATTATGTATCTTTAGATCTTCTGCTGTGTTTGTGGCTGAGTTTTTCCCCTCTGTTTGTGGAGCTTTACTGATTACACTGGCTTTACTTGGAGTTGGTTTAGGAGCACAGTTTGTCCCCTGGAGGTGAAGTTGAGGTGTGAATGAAACTATTTTGGTTTTGTTTACCTCTTGGCTGTTTGGGTTCAGAGGCTCCATGCTAATTCAGCCCCGGTTCAACCTGCCAGCAGATGCTTTTCACCACAGGTGGGCTCAAAGTTTTCCGTTGTTTTCCATGTCCAAGTCTCCTTGTAGCAGTTCACCTTGCTGTGCTGTCCTGTCTAAATCTGTAGAGCTGCTGCTTTGGTTTTGTTTCACTCTTATGAGGCCGCTGTTTATGTAGATGTGAATTTGGGTTTATGGGAAATACTGATTACTGAATATTGGCTTCACTTAGCTAGAAATGTCAATGAAATCGGCCTTAAAAAGAAAGAATGACAGCATAGCAGTAGCTGCGTTTCTGTTATAAATGTGGGCAAAACTTTGACAATATTCCTCTAATCTCTGAAAAACACAATTTTGCAATTGAGATGTTTACATTAAATAAGAAACGCAATTAAAATCACATGTGAATATGTTTAAGAAACATGCCTTGCCACCGTCCACATAGCCACTTCCTGTTGTCGTCTTCTTAGTGGTTTGCGCCAGTAGTAACATCCGGTTTTTGATCATGTGACTCCTGCGATAGTTTTGTGAAATAAACCAATTTTGATACAGACAAAAAGCCACCTCCTCCTAGCACATAATGCGACTTTATTCTGGTATTAAAGTCGTAACGATGTGACTTTACTCTTCTACTTCTCTTAATATTTAATTATTTTTTTCTTTTTATTTTCTATAGCCTTAATACTCCATCATAAAAAAGAAACACAAAATACCAAATTGCAATTGGCAAATGCACACCGGGACAAAGACCCTCATTTCTTGAGTCAAATAAAGCCGTTATCCCCAATTCTGAGCAAAAGTAAAACTTCTGAATTCAAAGAATTACAAGAAGACTTCAATTTTAAAAAAAATCTCTTAAAAAAAAAAAAAAAGGCTGAGATCTGATCATAAAGAACCGTCGGGTTTGACTCCTTCAGGGTCTCTGATCTTGTATTTTATGAACATGTACAGCTCAAACAGAGGGAAAATCTGGTTTTGGAACTTTTTTTCTGTTTTATCACATTTTTCTAGGAATGGCAAAAAAAATTATCTTTATGATATATTTAATATATAAATAAAAAGCATGAAGCATTATATTTAAAGAAAAATCAAATTCCCTCCAGAATCTGCAGTTTATTTTTGAATTTAAAATATGAAAACGTGGGAACTAAAGAGCTGGTGACTGTTTTTCCATAACCGACCGCCAGATGGCGGTAAAGGCCAGACAAACAGCTGAAACCTGAGCGATCAGAGGTGTTTGTTTTTGAAGTGTCAGATTTAACTGAGTGTATTTTAAGTTGATGTTTTTGTGCAGCTGATCACTCTGTCAGGCTTCCTGTGATTTGATGGACGATCTGAACACGGCGGCTCAGCAGCCACGTCCCGTCTAATCCTCCTCCTTCCTGCTGCTGTCAGCTGAGCTGCTGTTCAGTGAATCTGTCTTTGTTTGGGGGTGATGTGCTCTGTCAAACCTGCTCCTGCTACAAAGCAGCTTCTCAAACCTGATCGGACTCAGTGGGAGGGAAACTTGGACTCCCAGCTGATCGGCAACAACAGGAAGATTCAAGCTGCTCCACAAACTAGTTTAAAAGAATTAACAACAAATTATCTAGAGAGAGGCATAAAGAGTTTAAAATTAGCTGAAAATTAAATAAAACCTGATGATGCTTCTAAAATATTTTATTTTTTGTTTGTAGTTTAAACTTTTCATCCATTTTCCATTTCTGCTTTTACTTTATAATTTAATTTTTTTGCGTAGATTGTCCATTTCTGTTTCATATAAAATAAACACCTTAAATTACACATGCTAATTCAATGTGCATTAAATTAGCATGTGTAATTTAAGGTATTTAAATTACACATGCCCGTATTTGAATCCGATGCATCTACTACATCAGATTCAAATAATCCGATGTAGTAGATGCATAATTAATTCACAATTTGTACTTTATTAGTTGCTTCAATAAATTAAAATATATAATTGGAGAAAATTGACTAATTTAACTTGCATTGAGTCATTGTATAGTTTGTTGTTTTGATTCTGGTTTGTAGCTGAGGAAACAATTTAGTTTTTCATGAAAAAAAACTTTGGAGTAAAACCATCAGGAAATTTTCTAGAAAACTTGGAAATTTCTGAGCTCAAAATTTGAATGAATTTTTTCTTCTTGTCTGTGATGCATCATCGTGGATCTGTCGTCTTCTCTTTGAGCTGCAGCCTGTTTGTATTTCTGCACATTCAGAGGAAATGAAGACTTGAACAGTAATGGCTCCCGTGTCTTCGCTGTTTTGACGGGTAAAGAATTTCCTGATGATTCACATTCAGGGTGAATGTCGCATTCAACAAATACCTGGAAAAAAAATCTCATTTTATCACCAACAGAACCAGAGCCATGTAATGGAGCCAAGAGGCATGATTAGTATTAATGAATCCACAAGCATATGGAGTTAAAATGTCTGCCAGGAAAAGATGCCAAACATCAAGAATGCATGAAATTTCATTGCCAGTTTGGGTCAGACGTTGATTAATCCCCGGCGTTCCGGTAATAAACGTCGATCTGAATTTCAGGAGCAACGCAGCAGAAATTTGAAGCCGTTTTCTGATCTCAGGTCAGATTGAACTCCCTTTAACCTCACTGCTAATGGTCACTTAAACCCCAACAAGAAGGAGGATGATCTGGACTAATTTAAATTAATTTCATGCCGTTTCCAGCAGTGAAGTGCAGAACTGTGGAAATGTTTTTGATATTTCTTTCCTTGAACTTTCGTGTGGAGCAGAACTTGAGGTTTGGAGAGCTGGCCAAAAATTTAAATCACTTTCTGTCTTTCTTTCCATCCAAATGATTCCTGTTTTTAGGATAAAGATGGTTTTGGCAGCTGAACATCAAGTGTTTTTATCTTGATGTTCACACATGGATGGAATATCCCGATAAACGAAGCGTCTTTCAGATTGTCAGGGGGAAATGGACAAAAAATGGCAGAAAAATCTGTTTTATTCACCGTTACTGTATGGACAATTATGGAGCAAAAATTATAAAAGTTTTTATGTAGTTTCAATATATTCCTGACCACAATTTGACAGTTGGAACAACTGAACCAGTTTCCCAGAGTTCCTGCAGTAAAGCGATAAATTATAACGTTTTTTACTACGTGGTATTCATGAAGTTTCTTTAGTCTATAATAACGTTTCCTGGATGAGAAATTATCCCAGAAGTTATTGTGATAAACGATAATATATTTTATTAAGTAATATAACTGTATTGGCATAATGATGCAGGAACATGTTCTCACAGATCAAATTCTTATGAGCATTTAAAACTGAAAGACATTTTAAATATCCAAAATGAAAAAAACAGAAACAACAAAACAAATTATGAAGTCTTTGAAAACAAATTTATCCTTCAAAAATGTGCCAGTTGAGACCGAAGGCGCAGACTGCAGACTTTTATCACCCAGTTTCTGGTAGCAAGAGAGAAAAGAGGAAAATGATAAATCAGAAATTATTGAGCTTGTTCTAATTTATCATTTAATTGATTTATTGCGACAGACGCAGCTGTGGGCCGACTATTCACTCCTGAAGCTACTTTACAAAGAAACTGGATCATTTAGAATAACCACCAAATGACATGCAGTCAAAAGTATTCGTACTCCTTGAACTTCTCCATATTTTGTCACATTAAAATTACAAACATATTTCATTAGAAATAAATGGGAAAGAAGCCAACACAAAGGGGTAG